ACCATCATCCTATTAACATTTTCCAGAGTCTCCCTAGGCTGGTCTAGAAAACATTGCTTGAACTTTTCCACAGGAGTTTTGTCATAAGTAACAAATATGTATGCACTAAGCACGTGGTTATATTCCTCCAGAGACATATCCTTGTCAATTGTCTTCGCAATAGCATCGTCCATTGCATTGCAGCCAGAACCTGGAACGACATGACATTCATCACTGGAGATTAGAACTCGTTAGAGGTTACCTCTCATGCCAATCATCCTCTTGAGTACAAATAGAGACACAGATTAGCTAAGGAGATGGAGCACTGCCAAATCTGGGACAGAAAATGCAGGCTGTTAGATTCCACTTAGAAACTGCAAACTCTGCCCCTGACATTACAGCAAAAAGAGGCCAAACCCACACAACCCTCACTGCAAGGACACTGGATAGATGGCAGGCCATAGTGGTGGGCATGGCAGGCATTTTGGGTCTTTGATTGGTCAAAGCCTGCCACATTACTATTTTGAGAACAACATGGAATATGTTCAAATATCCTGTACCTATCATGACTAGAATATTGTCCACTTTGCTCTGTTAACTCTAGCATCTGCATCACAAAGCATCTTAAACAGAAAATCTAGTACTTGAAGCATCCTCATGCAGAAAATGGCTGCAGACTGCAAGATTCCTTCAGGTCTTGAAAACATGCCACGAACAAGCCAAAAAGGGAAGTTAACCCTCACACAACCTTTGTCAGCAATGACACACAAGAAACAAGAAGCCTAACTGGTCAGTTGTGGCACACACCTTTAGTCCCAGCACTTGGGAGGCAGATGCAGGAAGAACTCTTTGAGTTCGAGGACAGCGTGGTCTACAAAGCTACACAGAGAAACCTTGTCTTGAAAAAAAGCTCTATGTACTTATTGGACAGCTGTGTCTTTCTTTCTTCTAGCCATGATGCATGTCAGTGCTGTTTTGTGGACCCCATGAAGTATTTTAAAATAGTTCATAAATATTATCCTATCATGTCATAAATGATATCTTATTTCTATCATCTGCACCAAAAAGTATCATAAAACAAACTTTGTACTCAAAGTGATGTCATTTGGTCAAATAGTGGAAGAGAAAGTGGTCGGGAAGTAGGTTCAAATTAACTAGCCTTACCCTAAGCATAAGTCTGATTTTCCTATCAAGTTAACTGAGAACTCCATCTTCTTGTTATTTTGCTCCATCCTCTTAGATAAGTGAAGTAGACAATATAAACAATATGAATCATACAAAGTCTATTGCACGGTGACATGTTTGTACTGACTGCATTCTCAGGGACAAAGCTTTACTTCTGTCATTACTTTACACAGACTTGAGGAATGCGAACTGTCCTCTCTACCAGCAGGACTAGGAAGTAAGTGGCCCAATGTCCTGTGCAGGTTGAGAAGTAACTCCTTCCACAGTTAAAGAGATTCCTAAGTACAATTTCAAGGAAACCCATTTAGGTCTAGGGTCATTTATATCTTCCCCCATTTCCTGTAAAATAATCTCATATGCAAATCCAAGACCTGACATGGATATCAGGAGAACTGTGGCTACCATGGCACCTCCTGCATAGAAATGACACATCCCATGCAGGCCAGCACTGGGGGCAAACCCAAAGCAGCCCACCCTTCCACAGAACTCACCACTGGCGTAGCAGCAAATGGGGATGGAGGCCAGCATGAAGACCATGACCAACTTCATGGTGAGGCAGCTCTTTTAGGTTGGTCTTTGGTACAAGATGGAGCTCAGGGAACTTTCTGGAGTTGAGACCTCAGTGCTCTTCTATTTATTTCTTGGGCACTTCTTAGTGTCACCCAGGAAACAAGAATGCAAGTCATGAGAGCAATGTGGCATTGTACCAGACAACATGAGAGAACATCAAACAGAGCCAAAGAGGCCTATGATTTATTAGTACAAAACAAGGAAACATGTGACTAAAGTATGATGTGTGACAATTGTTGACCTATCCCTCAGTGCTTCCAAAAATAATGTAGATTATGGCATAATAGTTTGATCTTTAAAAAGATATTCTCTTCCTCCTTATACCCCTTTCTCCTTCATTAACCCCTCTTCATCTTCTTTGTCTTCTTCATTGTCTTCTTCTCACTCCTTTCATTCTTTCTCTTTTTTCTCCTTCATCTTCCTTTGTTATGTCCTTTCCTTGTTTTAACTTTTATTTTCCAATTTTAAGCAACTTTACTGTGTTTGCACCTGTTTCTGAGGTCTCCAGTGGCTAGGGTCCATGCATGACTACACACCCTTTTACAAATAGGTTTTCCTGTTGACCTTCCTCTTCCTTAAGCTCCAGAGGAAGCCTATTGCCTTCTGATCCTTACTGAAGAGGCTTAGGAAGAGTCATTTCATTTGATTAACATTCATTGTTCATTCCAAATAGTTAAACACATTTTTTCCTTCTATGTTAAATGTTTAGTGTCACTTCACCTGAATCAAAGGACACTGTCAGCTCTTAGGGCTCCTTTTTGCTTTATGGGAGGAAGGGATGGATGATTGTTATATGACTGTGTGGCACATGCAGTTGTGACTTCAGATCCTGGAGACAGCATCTGCTCATTACTGATCCTTGAGCAGCTCTCCTGTCTCTCTGAATTTCCTTTTACCCATGGTAAAGTGAGTATAGATAAAACTCTGCTGAAGTTATATCAGGACAGCAGACACTGCATGTAAATATCCTTGCCACATTGGCTATATAACCACTAATTTGTGGAAGTTTTCAGCTGGTGGAATTATGGACATTAGTATAATGGTCCCTCATGTTAAAAAACAAGCAATCAAACAATAAACAATAAAACCAAAAACAAAAGAATTACTCTAAAATCCAGGTAGATCACTTGGGTATATAATGGAATGCCACAGAAGGCATGCACATCCATGTTATAGCATTAGTCACAAAAGACAAGTTATAGGATCAGCTTAGATGCCCATCAGAAGACAACTAGACAAAGAAACTGTGGTATATATACACAATGGAATTTCATTCAGCTGTGAAGGAGAATTGAATTATGTCACTTACATGGAAATAAATGAGCCAGGATATTATCAAGTTAAACAAAATAGTTGAACTCAGACAGAGAAATATCATGTTTTCTATAATTTTTGTATGCCTTATGAATCTATTCCTGTATCTATATTTGCATGACATGAAAGTAGAAAATGAACTATTCATAGTGAGAAAGGGAAAGGAGGTATTGATGGGACCAACTGACCAAAGGAAAATGATGCATGAGTGCGACAGGAAATATCACCTATAAATTCAGGTTACATAAAAAGAACTAGGCTATTGCAAGAGAAACATGTGAAGGAAGGAACATGTGAAGTATGACGTTGTGAAAGCAAAACAGGAGTGGTGAGCACAGAGATGGGGAAGGCATCAAGTATTGCACCATCACAAAGACAGGTAACAATAGACCCTATAAATGAAGAGGATGCCTTTCTAAATTAGGAAAGATGCATAAAAACGAGAAGTGCAGACAAAGATAATAATTGTTTTTGACATAAATCTCTCCCATTCAGGGGTGGGGATGGGATTTGAGGTTCCCCTCACAGGAGGGAATTTATGACAAGCATTATAAATCTGTTCAAAATCTAAGGAGGTCTTAGACAGGGGAGAACTCACCTCTGTTGTTTAGCTAAACTAACATGGCCCCAAATTGCCCCTATGTATTTATAATGTTCATATCCATAGACAAATTCTACCCCCAGCCTTGATTGAAGAAGCTTCTCTTGTAGTGAATGGTGGTGAACACAGCACTCACAACTGCTCAAAGTGCTGAGAAAAAGTGACAGTTGAGTGCATCTCCCAAACCAGGACACTTACAGCACCCTCTTTATGGCAGGAAACATTGGGAGGAGGGAAGAGGTAGAATGTGACAGCTGGCATGATGTAGCCATTTCAATATTTACCTCATAATAGATTTGGTGGCCTGCATGGACCTGAACAATCTGCATATCACATTCAATCATGCATCAAGGCTGGACTCACAGGGCCCTTATGAACTGTTAGATACTGATGTGTTCTGGAGGAAGGACAGTGGTTATGTATCATTGGTGAGCCCCAAGCTCCAGTGGATATCTTGAAACTCAGGGTCACATAGAAGAGCCTGGTTAAACTCAATGGATCACAAAACAAGACAAAGAGTCACGAATGTGAGAAATGTATCTGTAGAAAATAGGGATGAAGAGAGAGGCAAGAGAGTACAGGGTGATCTTAATCAGGATGCATCATATGGATAAATGGAATTGTCAAAGAACAAATTTAATAAAAGTGGTCAAGGGAAAGTCATCGAGCTGTCAACCCTACAGAAAGATCTATGGACAACTCAGAAATGCTGAGAGCAGGAGAGATAGTCTTCCCCAGAAAGGGCACAGCAATTGGTTATTCAATACCATTGGTCAGCCCTGAAATATACATGGAAGTAATACTCTACAGACTGAGCAGATTATGTTTAGGAATATATACATACAGATACATACATACACATACATACATACATATATACATACATGCATACACATATATAATGATATAATTATAATTTCAAAAAAGAAATTTACAAAACTAAAATACAGAATTTTGTTATATTTTGTGTTATGAATTTGTAAATAGAGCTTCTTCATTCCTGCTCCGCCGACTTGACCCCTCCAGAGGTGAGTATACCCTCTGCTCTTGCCCAACTCCTGTTCAAAGCCCCATTCACCCTGATCTCTCTGGGCCTGTGCCTGCTTGGAGTGGACCTACTCAGTCAGGGAGGAGCCCCTGAGTCTGGAAACAACTCACCCTCCCTTCCTGATCCACTGGCCTGACCCTTACCGGGGCCTAACCCCTACTGAGTGAGGAGACTACCAGGAGAGGCAAGACCATGCAGTGCTGTGGACATTGAAGTCCTGGCGCTCACACACCACGGGTCACAAGAGGAGATAGAGAGACCCCACCTGCACCCACTGGAAAAAGATATGGGAAGAAGACAGAATAAGAACACACTCACCAACAGAAAGACCAATATGACACCACCAGAATCTAGGGACTCCACACCAGCAAGATCTGAAAAGCCCAACACAAAGGATGAAGAAGAGATGGACCTCAAAAATTATCTTGGGAAGATGATGGAGACCTTTAAAGAGGAAACAAGATAATCACTTAAAGAAATAGAAGAAAAAACAAGTAAAAAATTACAGGAAATGGAAGAAAAGACAAACCAAAACATTCAAGAAATAAACAAATCTCTTAA